TAAGGAATGCAGACAAGCTGTGGCACTCCACCCATTCAATAAAAAGCCCTCTGACAGATTGACATGTTCATTTAGATTTAGTCTGTTACTGCCATTCATTTTAGTGCTGGTTTATCTCATGTTGAGAATGTGTATTATGTTTAATGAAAACATATGAAACTAAATTAGGATAATGGTGAGTAAGAAGTACATAGCAAGGAGGCTAAGCTTCTTTAAATCAAGTTTAAAAACCTTAGGGCTAGAGAGAAGTTGCTTTTAGTAAACTTCAACAATGGCTTTTTGTCGTAGGCCATCAATAAGACCACCTACTGTATGGGATAAAAGCCCCCGGAGAATAATCACACTGCATTTCCCAAAGAGGACATTTTCAGATTATTCCTTTTGAGAGCATTTATACAGAGCGATCTCCAGGGAGTGTGTTCGGAGCTTTCATCCCGAGAGAGGCTGGTACAGGAATAGCAGGCATTACTGGGTGAATATAAGAGAAAGAGGGCGTGGGAGTCTATCAAAGCTTTGACCCTGAAACAGCTGGTCTCTGAAGGGACACATACTGGGATGTACTTAGGACTGATGCCGGAGGAGCCCAGGAACCACAAATCCCATTTGATAAATTGTCTTCCCAGAGTACAGTAATTTTCTTGGACCCGTCAGATTTCCTTACAAGCTTGTGGATATGAAAAAAAGCAATGGCTTGTTGACACACTGCAGATGGATTAAGTTGGGAAGTCATTACTTATATTTCAGAAAAAAGGGGGAAAAAAATCCAAATCCAGAGGGATGATCAAATCTGTTGACCTGGTCATCTGGTCATCGAGCAGTTAAAAGGCTATGCGAACCGCTCTGTTTGTCTACATTTCTGTCATGCCCAGCGATAACTTAGCACTGACCCACTCCATTCTCAGCTCTGATCTAAACGAGGCTCGTCAGCTTGGCATGACTACTTCATCCAAAAACACAGCAGTAAATATATAATGAATTTGTCATTTCTGTCCGCCCGGATGATTTATTTTTGCCAATCGTCAGTGGTTGAGACGTTGAATTGACAGCAGGAGACTGATCACTGTTTAGGTGATGAAGAACTGAAACAGTTAAAGGTCTCTGTGGCTCCTCTCCAGAGCTGTAATGTAGCTGTAATGTAGTGCAGATGTGCTTGGCGTTGTAAACACTTTCCGCCCCACTCTCCCTCGAGACGGACAAGCTGGGGATCTGCCTTTCAAGAGCTTAACGACCATTTCCATGGATGTTGAGGCACTGACCAGGAAAATGTTTTGTCTTTTTCTCATGTAAAACCGTGTAACAGAACATTTTCTTTAATGGAATTTCCCAGTAGTAGGAAGAAGAACCTCCCTGAGCCAGACTCCAATCCAGTTCCCATTTCAACTCAAACAGAGCATTATGTCTCCTTAAAACCAACATGTTCCGTACATTTCAAGAGAGCTGGTGGTGGTTTGAAGGGAGTTGTGAAGCAGTAATCATGCTCTGGTGTGGACCAAAACAAACGGTCCAACACAGATTGAGAGAGATGGTACCATTTCAAAGCGATCCCTAGGGCGGTCCAATAGCAGTGAGAACATAATCCGACCTAATTGTAGGAAGTGAACTAAACCAGCATAGTTGGCAGCATATCTTGTATGAATAAGTGGATCAACACATTTTTGCCAACCTTGAACCAGAGGCGTTTGTTCCGAACACTTTCAATTTGTGTTTGTTGGGAACACCAAAGCTGTTATACTACAAACATAGAGTATCATGTTGGTTGGTTTGGGTTTTCTTTGCACATTTTTTTATTTTCCACTGCAACATTTCTGACCAAAAAATAAAGACTTTTGTGAGTACATTTCCAGTCTGGGCTTCATAATAAACGACCCTGGGGTTTTTTATTTTTTTTTATTTGGTCCACCTTTAAACAAAACCAAACAGTATCATTTGAATCTAATTCGACTATGCACCCTTAGAGTAAAACACAGATTGTGCAAAAGCAAACTTTTAAGGGGCGGCAGTGGTTTAGTCTGTAGGGGATTGGACTTTGGACCAAAGGGTCGCGGGTTCACGTCCCGATCCGACCAAAAAATACGGAGTGTTGACTTGTACTGGAGAGGAGCCAGTTCACCTCCTGGGCCACTGCCGAAGTGCCCTTGAGCAAGGTACCTAACCCCCAACTGCTCACTGGTGCCGGCTAGACTGGCTGCCTCCGCTCTGACCTCTCAACTGCATGTGCATGTGTGCATATAACTGTGTATTTGTGCATGTTGTAAAAAGTGTGTACTGTATTACCTGTATAAAATCGCATGTGTGTGTACGACAGAGTGGATTAATAAAGGTCCATCTTCTTCTTATTATTATTATATACTGTTCATTCAGTTATTTCCACTTATACAGCCTACATTTCAAGGAACCTCTTGCTAAATACTCCGAATGAAATACTATCAATAATGATAACATTTGTGAAATTACGAGGTTACATTGGAAACATGACCCGACAAGTGACGTAATCTTGGTTCCACAAATTTGATAAAAGTTTCTCAACTGAAAAGTTGAGAGTTCAGCTTGGACCCAGTGGTGTAGCCTGGACATCTGGTCATTTAGAAGCTATCATAATTAAAACAGTTACTACTAATACAATGTGTATGTCAAAATTTCCATCAACATTCTGTTCTGGGTGTAGAATAATGGTGCTGCAATAGTACGGTATTATGGTGCAACACCATTGTTTAATTCTTTAGAGAAAATCCTGGGTTGCCTTTCTATCTGACCTTTCCATTAGAATGTTCTGCAAAACTTTTTCGGGGATATAGTTTGTTTAAAATTAAACTAAACAGTCTACTAACTAGGGTCGGTCGCTTCAAAACATCAATGAAGAAGTGGGGCCTGGCAGACAGTGCTGCATGCGAGTGCGGTGACCCTGAACAGACTGCCGAACATATAATAACCACCTGCCCTTTATATAGACCACCCTCGGAAGCCAGCCTCTTCGACGTAGGACCAGAGATGCGGGCATGGCTACACGACACCGAGTTGGACCTCTGATGTTACACGAAAGAAGAAGAAGATCTAACTGTGATTTCTGTTCTGCTCAGGGATGAGGAACATGTCTTCTGTATGTGCCTGAAGTTCCTTCTTACAAGTTATATCCTTCTACTTTTGTGTAAAAATTATTTGCACCTTCTTGATCCATTTTACTCTTTATTCTCTGGAGCCCAGAGTCTATAAATCACCGATGAGCCATAAAAGTCTAATTCACTTATGACATCCTGCCAGATTCCTCAACTGCAGGAAGGTTTACTAGCCAGATTTTTTTTACATAGCAGCAATAAGCTACTAGAAATAAGAACGCATAGACAAGAGCACCCATGTTTGTCTTGGCAAGAAACATTCAGATCATATCAAAATGTTTTTTCAAAGTAAGCTTGTTACACCTCAAGCTTGGGGTTAATACATATTGTTATCGATATTAAAAAGCACTCCAAAACACAATGTAACTATTTCTTGTGTAAAACTCGCATATGGTAAGATTGGTAGAAGTTAAGCAGTTCTCCAAGCTTTCTGATTCATCTGTTCCGACACAGCCAGTTTTCGCCAGGGGAAAGTAGTTTATCTTTGCCTGCCTTTGACAGTGAATTTGGCCAAAATCTACTGCTGAGGGGGAAATGTATCCGTGTTACACACTGTGACAACAATCTGTTGCAGGTTGGAGCAGGAGGCGATGCTCGGCCTGCAGAGACTTGACAGAGATGATGCCAATCACTAATACAAGGCTATCTGTATGGAATGGTGGACAACAATCAAAGGGAGTGAAATAGTAGAGATAAATGCTTTGCCATTTTACAAGGTTGCATGAAAAATATTATTTTCACAAATCGAAAAAGGCCGGGAGAATTTGATTGTAGTACTGTTATTTTCACAGTGACCACGAATGGGAATCAATAGAAAATAAATGTTAGAATTGCTTTGGTCCATCCCTTTACAGCATATAACAAAAACACAAAGGCAACAAGTACCTTCATGACGGAAAATGTAATTATTCAATAAAAAAAGTAATTGGTTGTTTTCCATATTATGATGTCGAGGTACCATAATGTTCAAACTGTCATTGAGAAACACAATGCGGAACAGAGCCGTGCCGCACAAATAAAACATCTGCATTCATTGCTTTGTGCCACATGGCTGTCCCAGAAACACACCCACTCTGATAACACAACGTTTGTCAGCCAACCTGTTTTGTGTTGTCAACAATGACGACAGGGCGTGGGCTTTATTCATTTCTACAGTACAAGCTGTTGTGGTTCGCTCAACACGGAGCCTGTCGAGTTTGTGTCTGCACTTTGGAAGAAAAGGAGGCAGGGTGACTGGCAGCCGGCCAAAGCCAGCACACTAAACACAAGTGTGGAGAAGGAGCATGAGTGAATGGGGAGGAGCTCGGCTGAGCCTTTTTAACAGAGGGCCATAATTCACCCTCTTGTAAACACTGAAGAAAAGTCGCCTACAATACACTGACTGCTCTACGTACGCACAACCAGATCTGGAAAAATGAAGCTCAAATCAAGGCCAGCTAGCAGTGTAGGATTGTTTCACAGAAGGTACCTTTATTTAATATGTGCTAGGCTGGAGATTCTGGGAAGTTGTGCTGTGACAACATACAATCCCTTAACAGTAGGTTGTCGGCTCTTGGGCATGACCTTTAAAGCAAAAGGCTATCTGTCAAACATCTTTAGGTTGTCTCAGCCTTCCCAGGGCTAGCACAGCACTTGTGCACAAATAATAAAGGTTAAGCCCGTCGCCCTGCCCCAGTTCTGCCCTGGACATTCAGTCATCGATATATACATTTCTGTTTGATCCAGACGGCTGGAGCCTAGATGTAGAAAGACAATACTAGTAGGCACAGAGAGGCTTGATACAGGAAACAGGGTGGCAAAAGGAAACCCTTCCTGTTGTAAAATAATATAATTAGAGGAAGAAGAGAAGACAAATTCAGAAAGCAGTTTAACAGATGTGCCACTCACCTTCTCCAGTTGTTGTCCAGAGGGGGAGACAGGTAGACGGCTCCGTACGGAGAGCTCTCTATGTGGGTTTGAGTTAAGGGAATTATAGGCACAGAAACATGTGATAGTAAGTTCAATTTTATAAAGATCTCAAGTATTGTTATTACATATTACCACCAAAGACGAAATGGAGGACAAATTGAATAAAGCACATTTGCAATAAGACTTGAAACTCTTAAGTATAAAGGCATTTGAGGTCTGATTCTAAATGATAATGTGTTTTAACTACAGTTCTAAGCTCAACTTGACATGAAATCTTAAGAAGGTGAGAGTCCAAGGTGCAAAAAGAAAAGAAAGCATTCATATTGCGAGCACATTCTCATCAAAGCCCCATAACGATGACGGACAAGCGTGAACAATGGAGCTGCCTTTTTCAAATATTTGATGAAACAAAGACAGCATTATTTGATTTACAACAGAATGTAGAAGCAGAGTTCCTGACATTGTCTGAAGAAGGGTAGGACTTCAGAAGGGTAGGGTTTTCATTTGCCGACAATTTTAGTGTTTGCAAGTGTAGCTCCTCTGCTCTGGAAATAGTCTCCTCCCTGGGTGGTTCAGGGAGGGGTGTTTAAAATGGTGACCGATCAACAAAAACGAATAAAAGGTCGCATGTCATGGCCATTTCTACTGATCATAATTCCATTGTTGAGGTATACTAGAATATATTTATATTGTTCAATTTTCCAAACTCACATTGGTTTCTCATACAGCATCTCTGTATAGTATGTGTATTCACTCTCTGTCCTAAACGGCTTGTTGGAGCTCCTGCCCTCCCCCTCCCTGTGAGCCCACTGTGCTCTGATTGGTCAGCTCGCCCACTCTGTTCTGATGAGTCTACCACTATGGTCTACCACCGTTACAGCGGAACATCAGCAATTATGTGTTACAATGGCGTTAGCAACCAGAAAATGACACCAGTAATGACAAACAGATGAGAATGCTGCGTGGGGTCTGGGTGCCGTGTTGCGGGACGTTGCGCAGCTCGCTGCTGCGAGGAGCGGACAGTGTGAGCTGGGTTCATTTCCTGCTTGCTGCGTGGAGACAGCGAGACATCGCGAATGGACGCGGGAAGGGGGGGGGGTGCTGAGGGGGCTGCAGCACCTTCATAACACACAAGGGGACGGGTAATAACCGGAAAAGCATGACATGGGACCTTTAAAGCTTTGAGATTGGGTACCACTGAAGGACAAACACTGTTCTACGCAGCATCTGTTGGGCCTTGGACAACATATTATCAGTAGAAGTGAGACAGAATTACAGAGACTGGAGCCATGCTATCAACAGTTGCACTAATTTGATGATAAGTCCCTTTTAAAATATTATAAACAAATACAATTCAGGTGAAAGTACAGTATTGTTGTCTCTCCAGGCTCAGAGGAGTAACAATCCGGTCAAACTGGTTATGTGGCTGTTTCACATGCTCTTAGCATTCTTCAACAACTCTATTAGTGGGGTCAACCCTTAACTGTATGGAGCACAGAAGTTTTGTGTCGGGTGTGTAAAATTGGGATATAATTCAAACTTCACCCTCGATTTCTTGTCAAATTAAAGCAACACTCAATTTTCTAAATCTGGCACTGTTAAATGAGCCAGAAATTGCTCTACAATTTTGTATTTAAAGAAGTTGCTTTTCTCCCCCTTATTATCAATCAAAATTCTCTTTTTTTCCCCCCCATTTGTGTTTATTTTCCTTCCTTTCTCCGACAAAAGGCTTTTATTAATAATCTAACAAATCAAACTTTTAAAATGTTGTCTAAACACAAGCAGCTGTTTAAGGATTTCGCTTACACAGATTATAATATAATAAAAACGCAATTCAATCAGGATATATATTTAATTACAATTATTAAACAACACTAGGAATCTGACCAGGTTTTCTCTGCGACATAATCTGTGCTATCGATACCTTCTGGTTTGCACAAAAGAATACATTTGTGGCGTTCAAACAGATAAAAAGACATATTTCTGATAGCATTATTTTGTCTTAGTGGAAACTAAGAGCAATGACAGCGGAAGTGGTTAAGAGATGGATTCGGACCATAAAGCTACTGTATATATTATGCAAGACCTCCAAAAATCCGACCACTTATTTGAAATCTCTTTGGACAAGAGCGTCAGCTAAGTGAAATGTAATGTAATGGTATATTTATCGCACAGCCTTGAAATCAGTATTTATAGCTTGGAGCGTGTTTCTGAATCCTCTTATGAATAACGTCAAAGAAGAACCTGTTCTTTACTCCTATTACAATAACAGAGATACATTTCTGATGGCCTTTGATTAGTTTTTAAAGTATCTTCAAGACTCAAAACTAATGGAGGGCAACAAAAGTCTATACAGAAATAAAAAGTCAAAACCAGTTTTTAACCATCTCCCCTTGTTTGTGTTTTTTTAACACTGGCTTTCTTTACCACATAACCCTTGAGCACTTTTGTTGCCGTACGTTTTCTCAAAAGATACAAACACGTGAACAGGACTAAAGTTGGACTTAAAGGGCCATTTCTACTGATCATAATTCCATTATTGAGGTCTACTAGAATATATTTATATTGTGACATTTTTCAAACTCACGTTGGTTTCTCACACAGCGTCTCTGTATATTATGTGTATTCACTCTCTGTCCTAAACGGCTTGTTGGAGCTCCTGCCCCCCCTCCCTGTGAGCCCACTGTACTCCGTTCTGATGAGTCTACTACCGTTACAGCGGAACATCAGTGATTATGTGTTACAATGGCGTTAGCAGTCAGAAAATGACACCAGTAAGGACAACCAGATGAGAATGCTGCGTGGGGTCTGGGTGCCGTGTTGGCGGGACGTTGCGCAGCTCGCTGCTGTGAGGAGCGGACAGTGTGAGCTGGGTTCATTTCCTGCTTGCGGCGTGGGATCTGCGAGACAGCGAGACATCGCGAATGGACGCGGGAAGGGGGGGGGGGTGCTGAGAGGTGCAGCACCCCCATCTGCGAGGCTCCACTAGCCCCCGCATCCCCAAACGCGGCGCACCTACAGTGTAAGCGTGCCACAGTTTCACCACTGCGAGGCTCCACTAGCACCCACCCCCCCCCAGCGCGTCACAGTTTTGCCGCTGAGTGTGTGTGTGTGTGTGTGTGTGTGTGTGTGTGTGTGTGTGTGTGTGTGTGTGTGTGTGTGTGTGTGTGTGTGTGTGTGTGTGTGTGTGTGTGTGGAGCTCCACGGATTGGTCCATTTGGGTATGGGCATGTCATCATACCCAGGAAGAAAAAGAGAAATCTCCAACGAGGCGTTCTGGGGCAGCATAGACAGGTCTTTTCTGTGTTAGAGTTTTACTCACTACAGGGTGTACTGAGCATGACATGGGACCTTTAAGTTATCATCATTCCCTCTGCTGAGATTTTAAAAGACAATGACTCTAGTTAGAGATGTCCACACAAACATACACCTTGTGTCCAAAAGCTGACTGGAAATGTCTGTCTATTTTGACCATAGATTTTGACACAACAATCTCTCCCACCGGTAACCTTTACACCATGTTGACCTGGCGGTCAACATGGTAGAGGAGTGCCTAAACCCACGCTGTTTACATTACAGTGAGTTCTACATTACAACACAAATGCATAATAACCAGGAAATATGTGAGGCAAACCGCAGAGCTTTACATTGCCTCAACTAATTCAAACTGCAGCGCTGATCAATCAGAAACAATCTGAAACAGTCAAGTATGTTTAGAGCTGTGCTATAACGGTTGAACATTCAATTTAAACGGTCAAACATCCCCCTCATGGTAGGTCAGTGGCGTCTATTGTACACATGAGCCCTGGACACATATAACAAACATACATGACTCCATACAAACTGAAGAGGCAAGTTTCATCAGTGAGGAGAGAAAAATAAAAACTAATATGATTATGAAATGCTTTCCTCAAAGTACTCAAGGGTATTGTCCAATAGAATGATGCATTGTTCACATTTTTTTCAGGCCGACCTGTTAACATTGCAAGGGCTCCCTCGACAGAAACTAATGCTAAAGCTAATTTTGTTGCGCTGTTCCAGGGGTGGCCAACCCGCGGCTCTCGAGCCGCATGCGGCTCTTTGCCTAGTTTCATGCGGCTCTTCAGTTCATATCGAATTGTATATGTGTGAGTTTGGGGGAGAGACACTGACTCCTGACTAGTGTTGCACGGTGTACCGATACTTGAAAGGTATACCGCGATACCCTGTCGTTAAAAACGTTACGATTCCTCCGTTTCATTAGTATCGGTACTTTAAGAATGACGGGGGAAAGTACTCCGGTGAGAAAGCGCTGTTTTAATAAGAGCCGTGTGTGTTCAGCGCTCTGCTTCCACTCCCTGCACTGCAGCCGTGCCTGCAGTCCCTCCCTCTCAAGCACGCTCTAAGTCCCTCCCCTCTCTCGTGCACGCGCTAGCTGCCAGAGCATGTGAGAAAACGAGAAGCATGGCTGCAAGTGGGAGTGCAACTGCCGCTGCGCCTCGGCTTGTTGACAAAAAATACGCCAGAAGCTAAATTTGGAAGTAATTTAGCTATATCTCTGACAGTGAGTGCAAGCCTACGGACACCACGAGGCCTGTCTGTAAGAAATGTATTAATTGTATTTAATACGAATTCTTGTCATTTATTGTATTTATTGTTCTCATTGTTTAAAAGTTTGTGTTATGGTTATGATTCTGGTGTGACATAAAGCACAATAATTACATTTAAGACTATTTCCCGTTTTTTAAGAAAAATAATTGGAATCGCAATTCTTGACTTGGTATCGAAACCAAAATGTTGGTATCGTGACAACACTGACAGTTAAACCTGATATTTAGTAGGTCTGTTAAGTATTGAATGCTGATCATTCTGACATAATTTGGCCGGTCAAAGTTGTTTGGGCTCGGATTAAATCGCTCCGTTACTTTGGTCCCGTGTTACTTTCGTCCCGGCTCTCCCTACGTGTGTATGTGTGGTGTCAGGTGTCAGTATGAGAGGATGACAGCGCGTCTAATTTTGATGTGGCCCAACAGCCAATCACAATAATACCTGCAATGCAGTGAACCAATCACCTTTGAGGGGGGGAAACCTATTGTTGATTAAACACTATTCAGTGTTTCCCCTACCATTGTCTTGGAGGGGCACTGCGAGCCGCCAACGGAGCCCCGCGCCCCCCCTGAAATTCAAGGTGTTATATATATACTTAAAAAATATATATATAGCATCAAATTGCAAATAATCTATAACTACTGTCACTTTTCACATTGAACATGTGCTCTTTTATTAAATAAACTAAACGCTTTCATTTTAATTTGTGGGTTTAGTGTTTTTGACCCTAAGAAACACTGATGCATTAATCAATACCAATAATCCACAGCTCCTCTCTCTGCTCCAGAGGATTTTAAAAATATATCCCAATGCCACAAAAATGAATCAGTGACGTGGTTGAAATCTTGTCTCCAGAAAACAAAAAACTGAAACAAGCGGTATCAGTGACTGTGTGTTTGATGTGGCTCTTTGCAGTAACATAGAAAACATGTGGCTCTTAACCTCTGACTGGTTGGCCACCCCTGCGCTGTTCGGATAATGTCCACATATTAAGACCACTTTCATAATTTTAAAATGCAACTGCCAGAAGTAAAAAGCTAATGTTAAGCTACTCACCAAGGCTAAGCTAAAGTCAGCTAATGTTTGGACTGATGAGGTTGAGTAGTCTCATTTATTAACTTGTTAGCAACCGCAATCTTTTATGAAAATAAGTTTTTGTGATTCACCAGTGGCATATTTACTTAAGGACCACAGCTATTAGCTATAATCTGGCATATTACATCTCTTCTCTTTGCTGAGATTAATGTTTTTGTATGCATGGTCCTTCTATAAATAAATACAAATACAAAATACTTACATATTTTCTGATGTAGAACACATCTTAAGAATCTCTTAAGCTTGTATTTACCACAGACCTTATTTCAGGCAACTACCCACAAACTCATTCAAAAAATGTTGACTTTGAGAAAAGGGAAGTGGTAAGAAGCTAACTTATTTCCAGGTGGATGACTCATTCCTGCAACACACTAAAACCGTTACGTTATGCTTGTGTTTCGATTGCTCTCCGTGGAAATATATACACTGGTGTGTCATCACATGCTGAGACACAGGACACACTCCTCATAGGGGGGGGGGGGAGTGCTGGATCAGTGGGCTAAGGGTGTTTCATGTAAAAGCAACACATTGGGTGTGAATCCGGATCGGGAAATGTAATTAGCGGGCTGTGCGATTGCAGGAAATTAAATTAATGTTCTCTTATATTAATATACCGTTCTCTAGATAAAGACCTTTAAAATATACCAAATGTGTCACAGAATAAAATTACTTGTTAATATATACTATTAACATAGGAGAATAGGCACTATAGTGTGGAATATATAAGTGTTCTCAGTTGATTCGTGTATTTTATTTGGCGTTTTCATTTATGTTTTTCAAGGAGCAAGCTCTTTGTGTGATCACCTATAAAGGTATAATAATAGAGACTGTACAGAGTCCAAGAGACCAGGAGCAGCCAAGGATTAGAAGAAATAACGGCCATCGGAGAGAAATGGAGCTGTGGTGTGAGGAGAACCAGTGGAGAACAGGGCAGCTGTCTTGGTGAGTGACCGGCGTTAGCTACAGTTAATGTTAGCTAACGTCGGTCACATCACAACATTGTAAAGCTATCATATATCAGGCTATAACTAAAGTAGTATTGATAATATAGTAACGTTACTGGCAGGACTGTTGATACTGTTCCATAACAGAAACTAATGCGCAAGTATCAGCCGTATCTCGCATTACCTAATGCAACTCCACACTACGGTGCTGTGTACCGGAGGAGAGAGAGAGAGAGGAGCGAAGGGGGAGAGAGATGTAATACGGTTTCCTGATAAACGTTTTGTTTGATAGGCTTCAGCTGTGGAGAGTACTGTATGTGCTGCAGGGAGGTGGATGCACCTCGCACAACGCACCCAGGAACGAAAGCTAGCTCCCGTCCTTTTCCTGTGAGGGAAACTGTGGACTCGATGTCCTGACAGGCTGGAGTTTGTGCAACCTGCACAAACTCCAGCTCACCATGATTACAAATGGTGAAATGCAATTTATAAAAATACCAGCTCACTAAATCACAACCGCTCAAAACAACTACAAACTACTACCGCGGATTGAGCAGAGAAGGAGTCCGAGAAAGTTGCTCCCCCATGTGACGCGTTTGACGTTAAAAAAAAGCTTTCAGCTCTTTTTTTTTAGTAGCAGAACTCAAAACGGCTCCTTTCCCCTCTGAATTCCTGCCCTTATGTCTCGTAAAACATATCAAATCCTGCATTAACTTTTTTAATTGTAATTTTCAGGCAAGGTCAAGCATAAATCTAGTAAAAAACCTGCAAGTTGCTCTTTAAGTGCTCAAATCAACAGCAGTTCCAACCACAAGACACATTTGGAAGTTGTAATTTAAATTTTGAGACAGTATTCCCAAGTTACAGAATGCAATTCATATTCTTATAAAATAAAATATCTGTTAATCAATCTTGGTCGAAATTCAGCCACTGGTTAAGACAAAAAAACAAATGGTAGCAGATTATATTACGCAATCTGGTTTATAAAACTAGTGAAACTGGTAATTAAAAGAGGCATAAGAAAACAGATTGTTCTGTTTTTACTCACTCCAACTCTGGGTATTTTAAAGAGTGTTGCTGAGAGCTAAAGTACCAACACTCCCGCCTATTTTCCTCACCCTGTGTGTTATCCCCATTACAACAATGACACACTCGTGCGGCTGCCTAAAAATCACATCTGCTGCTAAATGCACATGCATACACAACCTGAGAATCTCCCACTGTCAGTGTCCATTAGGCGTATGTAAAGCGCGCTGTCTCTGAGTCACATTTCAAACTAGCATTGTGACTAAGTCAGTTCCTGAGGCTACTGTACAGCTGCCTACACTGGTGAATGGCGTCACGCTTGATACAAACACAAACCGCCATTAAAAAAGAAAAAAAACAATAAAGACCAACAACCCGGAAGCCATAACACCCACATCTCCCACTGTCAGTGATTAAGCTTGGAAGGATATCTGTCGTCCGTGCTTGTCAACGGGTCGGCGATGGGGGGAGTTGATGCGGTTGCGGTCCCGGTGGACCCTCTCCACCAGCCCGTGGTGGCGGGTCCCTCTGACAGAGTCCAATCCTGACGGAAAGCCCCCCTGAAAAGAGAAATCACATGATTTACAGTTCAGTTTACCACAGACAGAGAGGAGTATTGGAAAATAGTTTTGTCAAATGTTATTTAAATCAGTTGTAACTGAATGTTGTCACTTAGTCCAATTTGTTCAAAACCAAAATGTCCTTTGTGTTCATGCCCTTATTAAAGCCTCAGTTGAAGGCCGAAAGCCTTTGTTTCTTATAAAGCTTGTCATGTGAGGACTGCTTCATGGTTTTTTTTTTTTTTTTTGGATCACGCTGGCTCTTCAAACACAAATGTTGAAAAGAGGTGCTGCAGCACAGGCAGTAAGAGGAAAACATTTTGTGACCTCAGAGAACAAGACATTAAGTACTCTACAATCATGAATTGAATATAGGTTATCAAAAGGTTATCATCGGGTGGAATCTAGAAGCCCTTTAGTTTGTTGAGATTTGTTCCCATAACAGAAAGTGAATGGACTCTACAAGTGACACTTCTCTCCCTCCATGTGGGGATTGATTTGTGGTCCTGACCCTGGTGTTGCAATTACTGCTCTACCTCAAAGGGCCATTCTTCAGTATAACAAGGCCACTTTCACCCGGACCCTCTGTGTCCTAGCATAACCCACTCCTCTGAGAGCTGACACAGATACAGGCCCAGGAGCTCCACTGCCTGAAGGAGAGCTGAAAATGACTGCACTGATCTTACATTCCATCTTTTTTTCTAGTGAGCAGCTGAATAATTTAAAGCTCTGAGGAGAGGCTTGTTTGCACTTCTGAAGGTCCAGCAAAGCTCAGAATGGGCGCCTTGAGGATGAGCTAACGGTGCTGCAAGATTCATCATACCATTTCATATGCATTTTTAATAACCTTTTACCTCATAAAAAGGCAAACATTTGCATTATATTAGGTTCAACTCTATAAAAAATAAGAAGGCATTGCTTATTTTGAATCCATAAATATCCAGATCACCAGTTGGCTTTTATTTTGAGAATTAATCTCTACTATTTGATTTAATATTGATAAATGATGATCTGGCTTTAATATAAGAACAATTTATGAATGTTATGATATATAATATATGTATATTATAATTAGATTTTTGAGGCTCAGGGTCCCATGACAAAACCTTCCTTTAATGGGTGCTGTGGTATAAACAGTTTGGGAGCCACTGGACTAGAAAACATTGGAGCTGATGGTAATTGTCCTCAGGCCTTGAAAAACCCTGAATGAGGACCTTGATTTGAATAGATTCTAAAGGGAGACATGGTTTTAAAATAAGAAATATTCAGATTGACTTCAGTGCCTAAAGGAAAGCATTTGAGGACATTAGCACAAAATGAACTGCAATGATTTAATTTCTAGCACCAGCACATCTACAAGGCTTTGTTCAGACTGACAATGTAAGAAAAAAAAGGCGCCTCCTCATTTTTTTTATCGCAATGCTTTGTTGGCACACAGCTGGGGTGCAGATGCAGAGCACTCGGAATTTTTTTCTTAAAAGTAGCAGGTCCACCCCACAAAAAAAGTGTTTAACCTCGCTCCACTTTTCGAGCGCATAGTCCATTACTTCCCCATGTTTTTTTGTTTTATATTTGCAACAAAGGCAAGACAACTGCTATCCTGTGGTCTGAAAGAATCAGAGAGGAACATTAGTGGTGACGCGCTTTCACTCAAAATGACCATTTACTAATTTTTCAACTTGAGGGACACAATTGTGTGCTTTCTGACTCAACGCACCTTAAGAAACCATTGAACACTGATTGGACACAACGTATCACAGTGTTAAATATGAATTCTACAGTAATCACTGCAATAATGGAATAAGCACAAAGCTGATTTACTTCTGGGCTCCCTCGTCTTGAAGTCAATTGTTTTTTAATCACCTGTGGTTAATACAAGATTATGAGATTTTACTTTGAAGTCCTAAAAGCAGCGGTTGCTAACAAGCCAGACAGGAAGTCATGGGAACATCCGGAGTTGGTTTATAGCCTAACGTCAGCTGTTTCTTGAGATTACATTCACTCTTTAACTATTATTAAAGTGGTGTTAATATGTGTAGGTTATTCTGCTAAACAACATGTGTAAATATAATAAATGTGTGTTTGCCATTGATCTTATCTTATGCAATATTCCTAAATCCAATGGAAAAATCCTGTTACTTATTGTTGAGTGAGCCCTTGCGATGCTAACGTCCGAGTTGGCATACAAAAATACGTAAACACTATTGCTCTGTACAAACGCAAAATGAAAACCCACCTGGAATTCAGTGGTGGTGTTGCCAATCTGATTGACGTTAGGCAGAGAGCCATAGTACTGTGCCCGGGACTGAGTCAAGCGAAGCTGCTGGACCTTCTGAAACTGCACCTGTTCGTCACAAAGGGGAAGAAAAAAAAACACAAAAAATTGTTGGATATCTTCAAGTGTAAAGCACATATAACTTCCAGTAAAAAAAAAAACTTACACTTTCATATAGGGCTTTTCTTTTTCACCATTGTCACCGTTTCTCAAATGAGATTCAAAAGTCTCACTGTGATTTCTTTATTTTTTCTATGTATACCTCTTGAAGGCAGCATAAGCAAACTGCATGGAAGGAATTGTGAGACAATAGGCTACTACAGAATTAAAACAGCAACCATAACTCAATCAAACAGACATTCACCTACATTTACACCCGTTTGCAAAAAAAAAACAAGGAATCATATGCTTTCATTAGTAATGCACAAATGCATCCAAAATAACTGACAAAAATGCAGCAATAGTTGCAATCTCTAGTATATGTGCAGGTTGGCATCCAAACCTAGCACACTACCAGGAGATGACACAAAGATATCCTCAGAAATAAAGAAGAAGCTTGTTCTGCCAAGGTAAGCAAAACAGAGCCAATCAGCAGCTGTTATCAGGAAAACAAAAATCCGAGGGTAATTCTTCCTTAGACTGCCCAAATGGCATCATTTGAATTTCAAAGGCTGACCTTGTTTCGACTTTATCAATGGGCTTTACAGCGAACGGACAGAGATCTCTCACAGAGATTATGAACATGACAAGATATAAGGGATGGGCTTAGAAAGAGTGAGGTAAAACTCTATATTTTGGTACAACATGTGTCACTTTACGTGCGGTTACTATGATGAAGTGTCAACTAGGGCTGTACCCGAATATTAGAATATTCGGTCGTTGGCCTACTATTAGGTTTTCAATTTCGTTATTCGGATATTCGTTTTTTATTTAGTTTTTTCTAAATCTATGCTATCAATAAAGGCAAATTGTCACATTCTTATACTATATTTATACTTTTTAATTGCACTGTTAAAATGCGGAAATATATACAATCTCAGCTTGGGTGCCTGACATCGCTTTCAATAGCTAGATCTGATCGATATGGACAAACGCGAGTGAAGTCTAATCTGACTGGAGAGAGAGATCAGCTGCTTCTGACAAGTCGACACGCAGCTCTGCATAATCACCTGCAGCGGTGAGCGGAGAAAAACACACTTCAGGTTAGAAAATCACACTTAGCTATTTTAATTACCTCTCAAACTACCTAAACTAGTTATAGATATGTTTATTTTTACTGTCGGGTCACTCATTACTGTATCCGCGAGCTGCATGATACTGACGGGCTGTCAGGAGAAGGAGAGAGCACTCCGTTTATTATTCCCGTGTTATTTAGTAGGAATGCTGACACAGCATTCCAACTATCTGTTATGCTACGCACAAAATTCTTTATTATTCCGCCGGGTTATTTTGCGCTGCTTCTTCTCCAACATTGAACATCGCAGAAACTCCGTTCAAACATTAAAACGTTCAGCTCGGTCAGGAATCAATGGCTATTACTTTTATCATTCATAACTTTCATAATTCCAGAGATACATCCCATAATACATCCCATTTTTAACATGGAAGTCAATGGAGAAGTCTTCAGACTTCAACAATCTTCATGCAACTGCTAACTGCTCCTTCATACTTTCACTCAGAAGCCTCATTCCAACTTTCAAATGTCACACATCTTTCTGACATTATTCGTGTAACACAACTTTCAAATCTGATTCTCACTTTTACAGATATTAAACATTGTTCAGACCTTCGTAGAGAGGCCTTCTTCAGATTTTACAGTGCGTGATGTCACAGCTAGAGTGGAGATATTTAATTTTGCCTTCATATTTTCTTTTAAACCTGCCATAATTCCCAAACCCTACATTCCTGGGACATAATTTATCATGACAAACGTAGGAAAACATCTCGCAGTTTGAAAGATAAAAAAAAATTAAAGCCAAATAATTAAACAAAATGCCTCTTGAGGGCATGAAGTGACAAAAACGTTCAACATGTCTCCATTAAAACCCATTGCAAATTCAGCCTCACCTTTCTCCACCACCGCAGCCGCACACCTTTAGTTAATCTGCCAAAAAGGCCAAATTATTAACCGAAAGTACACAAAAAGTACATTTCAGATGCTCAAGTTCCTTGACATGCTTCACGCTTTGAAATTTCACCGATATCTGTTACGGTTCTTCAACAAAACGTTCACATGTAACAGGTTTATCTCTCATTCAGAACAATGAAAATGCTTTCCTCTCACTAATCACCATGGAAACCTATGAAGGTATATATGGTGCAAAATGCGAGAGCGTGTAAAACCTGATGTGAGCACTTGCAGAAAAAAATCTGAGCTTGTGTGCATACATTTACACTTGTATAAAATATCCACGTAATTGTGAACCAAATGTACACTTGTGTAAAATATCCACGTAACTGTGAACCAAATTTGAAGTCACAGAAGAAAAAAAAAAGTTTTGTAGCTTGTAGAAAAAAAATGAACTTCGTGATGAAATGTTCACTTGCAGAAAAATACATATTTTTAATATATATTTTCCATTACAACTGCAACTTGGTTATTACAACCTCTCAAATCAGTCATTACAACTTGACGAATCTGCTCTGTGGCAGTATACATCGACGAATCTGCGGTCTTGACTTTTGCTACACTTCTTGCGATAAATGTGTCGCAAAAGTAATTTTCACCTGTAGATGTGGGGGGAGGGAGGGGGGTTGGAGCGAAGGGGCGGAGCTATCAGAACGACGAGTCAGTTACAGTCAGGTCGAATCTGATGACTGCGGGGCTAACGGTTCGTGTCGCTACCTATGGTCGCTACCAGTCCGCTGACATGGCGCGTCAATCAATGGTAAGTTTTGCCCATTACTTGCCCAGTATTACTTTGAATATTATTATTGTGATTGAGGATTAAATCCGCTTTGAAGACCACCGTTTTATATCGTGCAGTTTAGCGGCAAAATAACGTCAGTTAGCCAGCTAACGCTAGCTTTGTTGAGTTTATGCTAGCTAAACAAGTAGTGGTTGTAGTTTACAGCAGTAATTAATATATTATAGCCTACTGCTTTGGCACTAACGGTTGATAACCGTTTATGAAAAGAAAACCAATTGAACTGTACTGAAATAATGACAAGTTTTATAATTGTCTTGGGCTCCTGCTGTGTTTTTAAAGCCTTTGTAAATTATCCATGCTATTTTCTATTTAGAACGAATACTTCAATCAATCAATCAATGTTTATTTATATAGCCCAATATCACAAATGTTATCCATGCTATTTTCTATTAACTAACGTCGAAGTAGTGTATGTGAAATCAACCATCAATTTGTCTCAGTGGACTTCACAGTTTGTACAAAATATCAGTATGACAATACGACACCCTCTGTCCTTAGACCCTCACATCGTACAAGGAAAACTTCCGAAGAAAACCCACAGTTTAAAGGGAAAAATGGGAGAAACCTCAGGGAGAGCAACAGAGGAGGGATCCCTCTCCCAGGACGGACAGACGTGCAATAGATGCCGTGTGTAAATTGAAAAGATAATACATTTGCAACATAGGTAGTCCAAATATTTGGAAATGCATGTGTGTATAATAGGAAGATGAATCCACGGGGATATCCATCCAGGACCTATGATCCAGGACCACAGCCACGATTTAAGATCCAGGGCTCGCGATGCAGGACACAGGAGCGCAGGATCATCCATGACTCCGGATCCCGGCGTATATAGACACCAAAAAGAAAGAAATTTGGGGAAGCTGGGTTAATCGGAACATGAGAGTACACAGGTACAGACAGAGAGAAGGAAGAAGTAAGATGTCCCCCGACAAACTAAGCCTATATCAGCAAAACTAGGGGCTGAATCTAATCAGCCCTAACTATAAGCTTTATCAAAAAGGAAGGTCTTAAGCGCACTCTTAAAAACGGATAGGGTGTCTGCCGCCCGAACACATACTGGAAGCTGATTCCACAAATGTGGAGCTTGATAAGAATTATTATATTATTGGGTTTGTTCTTCAGATATGACTGACGTTAACGTGTAATCTCAATAATGAACTCCAGCTCAACCAACCATATTGTAATATCTAAGTAATCATCTTGAAATATGACATTAATAATTTTAATATACACACATCTTATTGTGAGGTTGATTTCACATACACTACTTCGACGTTAGTTAATAGAAAATAGCATGGATAACATTTGTGATATTGGGCTATATAAATAAACATTGATTGATTGATTGAAGTCTTCGTTCTAAATAGAAAATAGCATGGATAATTTACAAAGGCTTTAAAAACACAGCAGGAGCCCAAGACAATTATAAAACTTGTCATTATTTCAGTACAGTTCAATTGGTTTTATTTTCATAAACGGTTATCAACCGTTAGTGCCAAAGCAGTAGGCTATAATATATTAATTACTGCTGTACACTACAACCACTACTTGTTTAGCTAGCTAGCATAAACTCAACAAAGCTAGCGTTAGCTGGCTAACTGACGTTATTTTGCCGCTAAACTGCACGATATAAAACGGTGGTCTTCAAAGCGGATTTAATCCTCAATCACAATAATAATATTCAAAGTAATACTGGGCAAGTAATGGGCAAAACTTACTGTTGATTGACGCGCCATGTCAGCGGACTGGTAGCGACACCAACCGTTAGCCCCTCAGTCATCCGGTTCGACCTGACTGACTGTGGCTGTGACTGTGTGACTGACTCGAGCCCATAGACTGCCTGAGCCTCGTCGTTCTGATAGCTCCTCCCCTTCGCTCCAACCCCCCTCCCTCCCCCACATCTACAGGTGAAAATTACTTTTGCGACACATTTATCGCAAGAAGTGTAGCAAAAGTCAAGACCGCAGATTCGTCGATGTATACTGCCACAGAGCAGATTCGTCAAGTTGTAATGACTGATTTGAGAGGTTGTAATAACCAAGTTGCAGTTGTAATGGAAAATATATTTAAAAAATATGTATTTTTCTGCAAGTGAACATTTCATCACCAAGTTCATTTTTTTCTACAAGCTACAAA